AATTAATCTTCTTGTGCTTGACCAATTTTTATTTCCTTGAAAATTGTCATGAAATAAGATGTGATGGCTGAAAGCATGAATAAAAGGCCTCGTGGAAATAGGATCGCAGTGTGAGGAGGAAGTCCAATAACTATTGTTGACATTACTGTACACCTAGGTTGCTACTGCACAAATTGTTCGGCAAGCTAGCTCCTAAGTTGCATAAGTTTCCAACATCTCATATTTTAGCTTTCATATCGCTCTCCTAATTACGCAAAATGCAAAACTCTATATTAAATAGAGAAATACTTAATTATTCCTTCATTTGAATCACCAATTCGATACAGAACTAAGATGCTAACCCAATCAAGTCAGAACTTTGGGTCAAAATAGAACGTAAGTCCCTTTGCTATTGCGCATATGTTTGGTTCTCGCTAGTTCATAAGTTACAGATAAACAGAATAAAAATGGAGCAAACAATCTCCCACTTCTTATTTTGAACACATGAGATCCAGTAGCGTAGTTTCAGCCTGCCCCCTGGCGAAACTTGGGCTACGTCATTGATGAGATTAGGAACAAAGCGTGGAATAACCAATTTGAAAAAAAAAAAATATATATATATATATTTCAATTCAAGCCGCATATTTTCTCGCAATGTGAACTTGTACGATGTATGATTCTTGACGTTATCCCGAAACATCACGATGAAATCGACTTTAGATGCTTTTATGCATGAATTATGCCACAATATTACATGCCACCCAGGCGGCAATTTGTTGAATAAAACATAGGGAGGGGAGAGACAATTCCTCAGCCCCCCCCCCCCCCCTTTGAAAAAGAAAATGAGCGTTGTCATACATCTGTCTGTCTCTGTAATCATTGAGCTAATGATTCCATGCTGTATTATATAATATCGCCAATGAAGACCAGTGACAAGGAGAAATATTGACCTCTATGCACATTCAGGATATTTTCAGGTGTGAATGTACTAGTATTACATGTCCTAAACTGGAATTTTAAGTCACATGAACTTTGTTGGAGTATGCTGTATTAAAACCAAAAGATATTCTACGTTTGAAAAGTCACAAATAATGTTCACAGGTCCCTAGAATAATGTGCCACCTGCAAGTTCAGAAAAGTAGTTTTACAGATGATGAAAATGGCACAAATACGAGGACTGATCAAAAAAGTTCCAGTACTTTCTTGTTTAAAAATAAACCGCTTTAGGTAGGGGGCTAGGACTAGTGTAGGTGGGAGGTGGGGGAGGGGTAACCGCACGCACGTTGAAACCTCCTTTGCGCTAGGATTAACCAGTCGCGAATCACGAGCGTTGAAATCCGGTCGTCTCTGTGCTCTTCGTCGAATTTTCGATCATGCATCATGATCCTGATGNCAGTCGCGAATCACGAGCGTTGAAATCCGGTCGTCTCTGTGCTCTTCGTCGAATTTTCGATCATGCATCATGATCCTGATGCATCATGAGTTTGTCCCACAAGGCCAGACAGTTAACCAGGCTTACTGCAATGATGTTTTGACCCGTCTTCGAGAAAAAAATTAGAAGAAAACGGCCCCAACTTTTCCAAATTGAAGCCTGCTTTCTGCATCACGACAACGCTCCAACCCACACTGCTCTCACAATTCGAGGGTTTTTGGCTAAAAAAAAAATTCATGAGTTGCCCCACCCTCCCTATTCACCGGACCTGGCTCCGAGTGACTTTTTCCTGTTCCCCAAGATTAAATTTCACGTGAAAGGAAAAAGATTTGAAGACATTGCAAGCATCAAGAAAAATGCGACAAGGCAGCTTAAGAGTCTTACACTCCAGGACTTCCAGCACTGCTTCCAGAAGTTGCAGGAGCGTTGGGATAAGTGCATAGTATCGAGGGGGGAATACTTCGAAGGGGACAACAAATAATTTTAATGTACTTATTAAAAATAAAGTTTACGAATAAAAGTATTGGAACTTTTTGATCAGACCTCGTATGCTTTGCGTAAAAATCTCAAATTTGGACTTAAAACAAAATAATTCTCACATAATTCTCAATATGGCCGAAGCATATCGTCGCCATAGGTCCCTCCTAGTCCTGAGGGGGGAAAAAACAAACAAAATTGAACTAATGAAAATTTTGCGTATGCCCAGATCATCCTTACGTTATACACTGGATGCACAAGAGCGCTGATAATCATTCAGAATTAACCGACATCCAATGGACGGTAAGGACAGACCAAAAACTATTGCATCAACTTTGTAGATACAGACCCACAACGTCTCAATGGGACAGGGAACTTCAACCAAGAAAGAGCGACTTCAACTTCTTCATGCCTGCAGCTATCATGTCTTACAAATAAAAAACGGCGAAGCACACATGGTTGCTGACATGGATTTAGGACTGGCAGCCACGACGACTGCAGTCCCGAGCTTATCAATGGCATCGGAGGAAATCCCCGTCACTGATGGAGGGAAAATTCTCTCGTCGTCCCTTGCGGGGTCCTCCATTCATCCTTGGTCACTCCTTCATCCGTGACGGGGGAAAAAAAAAAAATCCTAGCCCTCTGGGGACCTTTATTCTCTTATTTCACAGCCTCGAATGATCGTTGGGAATCCCCGGCTTCCCGATCGACTTCCGGGAGGCCAAAAAAATCAGATTTCGGGCGCGGCCAACAGCCGCAGGTAGAATTTCGACTGGCATGCCAATGGAATATACAGCGTTTTTCACTTGAGCCCAACAATTTTTCACCCGACTACGACACTCATGCATAAGGAGCCTCTCGTGCACGAGTGTCCAAAGCAAGTGAAAAACGCTGTAGCAAAAATCACCGATAAATCTGGAGACCGCTGAGACGATGCGCAATTGAACGTGGGTCAAATTTTCTCCTCATTCTTTCAAACTCCATTCATTTTGACGATTGGATATACTAATATTCAACTTTTACTTGCATTCTTTTCTCTAAACTCAATGTTTCTCTTTAACAGAAACACATCAACAACGTTGAATGTGCAAATTATAATGTGCGTAAATATAATTATGTATGAGGACGTAAAAACTTAAATCTACGAAAAGTGACAAGAGTTTAATCATTTTTCATTCACGTTAATGCATTATTAATAGCTGGATTATGTATGTATTAAGATTAGTCTTTGGCTGCATGGGATGCATTCGCAAGCATAAACTGCAATTATAAAACCCTAGAAAAGGTTTTCATGCGGTCCGAAGCCTAACTTGGAAATGAAGTTTGGCTGACAACAATTACTGTTCCAAGAAAATAATGATTATTCTTGAATTCTAATGAAACTTCTTACATTCTCTTCCGTGTCGATTCGCAACGGACTTGCACGGGAAAGCAGCATATACGAGCAGAATGACTGGGCAATTTGAGAGGAGAAAGGAAGAAAAAACTGCAACGTTTTCAACGAATAGAGCGCCCGGTGGATTAAGCGGCGAAGGCAGCGGGCACAATCGCGGGGGTTTCCCGCCGTGCAATGCAGACACAATGGTGGGGAAAGCCCGGGGACGATAATGCGCCCGCTGCTTTGGGGATGTCGCGCTAGGGTCTCTCGACGTCAACGCTGGGATTTCGCACGTGGGTACGTCACGGACACGGAATCGAGCTCCAGAAGTTTCGACACAAATTCACAGATGGACAGCCTTCACGCGAACGGCTCACGGGTCCTATTTCCAATGACGTCAAATTGATACATAAATATAAAAAGCACTGGAGTCTTGAATCTGCCTGAAGGCTTTGACATAGACTCCCACTCATTTTCCGGAGAGAAAGTGAGACGTTGGTTTTTCGGAAGCGAACGGCGAATGCACGGGGGGGGCGGGGGAAAGAAATGGCGCACACAAACCAGACGGTTCAATCGTCCTCGCCCCCCTTTCGGCGATCACACACTGATTGAATGGAAACGAGGGCTAGGGCAAAAAAGCGTGACTGGATTCCCCAGATGACGTGATCCGGGGATTCCCCCATGAAAGTGGAATGCCCCGCGAGACCAGACAACGAAGACGGTGAAAGCCCGCCTCAAGGCAAATTTAAATGACCTGGATGCAGCGCCAAAAAAAAAAAAACAAACCAGGAAGACATCCGGTAGAAATACATCTCCATTTTTCTTATCTTCGAAGAGATAAGGAAAATTCGAGGGAACAGGAATTTCTTGGAAACTGATTACAAGGAGTCGACCGTGCCACTCCATGACGTCATCGCACGTAGTACTGCATTCCACTCTCTTCACTAACATCAGTACGTCATATGAATATGCCTTTGTAGACACACTCACATTAAAACCTGGGGGATGAAGAAGGTACTGGATTCAGTTATGAGAATTTTCGATTTCCCTATTCTAGGAAGTGAGGTCGATCCACACCACTAAATGCTACTTTTCTTTTATTCATAAACGAAGTCTAATCATGCTGTCATTCGAAACCAACACTTAAGAAAGGCAGCTTGAAGGAAAGCTTTTATCTTAGAAAAAATCTTTCAGAGACATTTCTCTTGGGACGTCCAGGACGTTCCATGACTTGGATGGCTAGAAAGGGCAGACGAAGGGGGAAAGCGATGCAGGTAGGGCCGGCCGGCCGGCACAATCATTAAATGCCTTCAGGCAGATCCCGGATCTACGAAAGGCCTTTACTTCGACTGACGCGGATTCTTGGAAGTCCTTCGTCTCGCACCATTCATTCCATTCATTCCGCGACCCCGGCCCAGTTAGTCACGAAAGTAGCGTATTATGGTCCACTCTCGCCCGAACATGCGCGCGAGATTTCTCGACCCCGGTCATTGGGATTAGAGACGCGACGGGCCGAGACCTCCAGTTCCAAAGTCGCGCATTCGCAATACCAGTCTCATTCTCCCGATCGAGTGACCTCCAGTCTCTGCGGGCCGGGCCGCTCCTACTTCTACTGGGGTATATCCCGCCGCGAGAGTACTGTTCGCATGGCGCGTGCGCGGCAGCCTCCGGTACACGTGGTCGGTACATCTCACACCTCATAAACCGAGGGGCCAACCCAGGTCCTTTCAGTTCCTCATCGTCAGTTGCGCTAGTTGGTTCTTCTGAAGAATCATGAAACTGGGTCAAGCATTACTCATTTTGGCATCAAGCCTTGCCCTGCAAGCGAAGGATCAGAACGGGGACGAGAGATCCACACCAGTTCAAGGGATCTCCGTGCTCACCGACGACAGGCCAGATGTGAAAGCTCTTCAAGAAGGGCTCATGGCAAGCCTTGGTCTCTCATCCCACCCTGATCTCTCAAAGGTACGAGTTGGATTTTTTCCTTGAGATTTTAAGATTATTGTGGTCTTGTAACTTGGCACCAAAATTACTCAAGTGAATCATACGATGAACATTTTAAATAGAAAAGTATTAAGTATGAGATTGATGTGTTCATGGGTTGGATAAAAATGATGCAAACTCTTGAAGATTAAGAGCGATCAGTAACCTCATTCTGGAGAGTGATCAGTAATTTATCCTACTGGAAACGAATCGAGAAGACTTCAACTCGAATCCGCTATTGCCACTCCAGCGCCTCGAAAATTCCCTCTCAAATAAGACAGATTCAATATCTGCCCTCGCTCCCCGTTTTCTGCTTCAGGAACAGAGAATGTAAACCGTTTGAGAAATTCATATGGCAATCACTGATTAAATCAAAATACGCACCTGGACTATGGACTCTCCCGGAGAAGGAAATGACAGTTTTTCATTCATCACTGTTTTGCATTAAGCTATCCTAGTTCTCAGGGATATTCTCTCGTCCAACCGACACAAAAAATGCAGATCAAAATAATTCTTAAATTACGTTGCTGGTTACGCTGGTGCATACACAACGATAAACGTGTTTGCCTCGAGATAGTAGAGGAACGAAGGGAGCTAAATATAACTCATTTTTGTCTGCGTCGAAACGGTGTTCTTCGTCGTTCAAGCTAGAAAAGCCCAGCTTTAGAATAAAAAATAAATAAAGAACTCGTTGACGACCAATTGACGCATTCATTCTTCACACCGGCGTGTGCCGCACTTGAAAGTGCACTCGAGAACCCATTCCATTACACAGTTGAACTCGCGCGCGCTCTGGAAGATAAGATAACCTTCCACTCAAGAAACTCGGCTTTATGACATTGTTTTTATTGATGATCCATCGCCTCAGGATGACATACCGCCATTCGATACATATCCCTCTTTCGCCCGACAAGGAGTGCATATGGCATGGGATTATCGGGGAGGATTAATCAGCCTCAGTCACCAGTCTAAATTTAAACTATGACTTCCGCGGAAAGTATTCTCGGGACTTCCCCGGGGACATCCGTGAGAAGGGAACGCGGGTTGGAAGGCGCGACTACGTGATGACGTCCCACTCGTAATCTGACATCATCCCAAAAAAAGCGACTAAACACTGTTATCAGACTTTTTGGTCTAACCGTGGGCATGCCCTTATCAAATCGTGTCCCAAACCCGAGTCAATACCTGGGGCAACGTCACCCCGCTTCGCCCTCATGCATGTCTGGGAATCCCACAGGAGTCTCATGAAATTTTAAGGGAATATTTTCAACGTACAAACAGATGCTAAAGAAGGCATAACAGGTTTTGAGTGAGGATTTGTCCTTGACAGACTGGGTATGTGCGTCGAACCCAGGGCACTAGCGAGAGGGACGAGGATCGTTCACGGATATTTACATTCTCTACAGTCAGTCGACCACGGATAAAAGTGACCAGAATTCTGAAATGACGAGAACAAGCCAAGAATTCAGTGTGACGCTATTCACGCGGCAAGCTTTGAACGAAGCTGCAAGCTTAGCCAAGCATGCAGAAAGAAAATTCCTCTCAACTGGAATTTTCTTTCTCACAGTAACCAGTCGAAGCTCTGGCCCTAAGCAAGGGGTTTGTATCGGGCTTTGACTCAAATCCGCTAACGGTTATGACTTGAAAAAACCATGATGAACTGAAACAGAAACGAAACACAGATCTTCTAAAACAGACATGTCCACCACCGATCAATCATTGCATTTTTGTATACTACTTCAGAAATTTTCGCCCTCGTTCTAACTAAAGAAAAATATTTTCCTTTCCCTACAGCTGAACACGAGCCAAGAGGCGGTGCTCAAGGTGTATTCCGAGTATTGGTCATCCCCAGGCGAGAAGATCCCCATAGGCGAGCCTCGTCTTTGGACCGTAGAGGCATCAGGTTAGTATTGACATGCTACTCAATACGCATGCAAACAAAACTTGCCCTTCCTCGAACGGCCTGTGTACGCCAGGGTAAAGCTTTCCTCGAAAGGCCTCACCCGGGAAAAATTGGGGGCTCCCACGCGAATTCATGCTGAGTATACGAGCGATCAATAGCATGCGACTCTCACGTGTTCCCCATGTCCCCCCTGTCGTTTCCTTGTTTTTCCCACTTTCTGCTGCGTATTATTTCTCCGTAATTCTCTCACGGTACAGCGCCTGCATTGAGTATCTCGCAGTTCATCTCCTTGAATGTGGCACGAAAGGTAGTGAAAAGGAACTCTATGATCATGAGGATTCCATGCAATGTGCATTTTAGATCTGCGAAAAGCAAACATGATGATACCTGACAATAGAGAACAGGGATGTGGTTAACTACATGATCCATTAATGATGCGATTTGGCATGATTGCGCTCTTGTCTCCACTCGGGATTTCCTCGTCTCTTCCACTCCGACATCCACCCACTGTCACACGACGTAGCAATGGAAAGTTCCATGGGGAGCATTTTTTCCAACTGGGGCATTGGCGGTTTGGGATGTGGCGTGGAGGTTTCCATTTATTGCGACAAACCCACGCCTCGTTATTCAAGAGATATTCTCGATACCAATAATTTTATTTGAAATTGGTTCTCGGAAATCATTATAGAAGACGTAGCTTTGGATTAGGAAGTGTCTCTGCCTCCAAATCTCGACCCAATGTCCATTTTCCTGACATTTAGGCTATCAAAAGAGCCTAAATGTCAGGAAAACCTGATCGAATATCGGATAATGCCCTCAATATTGCGTTTCCATATATAATATTGCGTTACCTGAACGACACGGGGCAAGTTACTGCAGATGATAAATCAGCCTGAAAAAAGTAAAAGTGAATCACCAACTTCTAAATTCCCTTTTAAGAACTCTGGAAAGGGTCGAAGCAAGCAAGACGAGATTCCATTGGAAATGGGCTTCTATTGGATCGAAGTACAATAGAGGCTTAATTTCCAACGCAATCACCAGAAGTCTGCTTCGTTTCCCACTAAAAGAGAAGGGGCATCAAAAGTCCTTTTTTTTCCTTCGCGGAACGAACATGTTTCATTGTTTTTTTCCAGTTCATAAGAGATACAAACAACTAGAAAAACATTCGGTATTGCCTTCAAATTGCCAGAACATCCTAGGCTCCTGGAAACGAGGGGGGGCGGTATACCTCTTCCGCAAATGCCGGGGATGGCGTTGACAGATCCGCGATCGAAGGGGATGGTGCAAGAGAGAATCGGCACGAACCGACCTGCCGGGTTCGAGGGACTGGGTCATCGAATCGATAAGCTGAATCACCATCGTCCATCGATGCGCGTTCCTGGAAATTCCCCTCCCCCCCTCACCTGCGGACGGACCCCTTGGACGAGTCGCATGCAATGCAATACAATAAGGGCATTATACCTTCTCCCCTCCTCTCTCCCTTATCGTTCGTGAGAGCTGGCCATGGTTTGCTTTATCATGAACTGTCGTGACTTGTTTCCGTTCTACTTTCAATGCGTAAAAAAGGTGCTGCAAGGGAAGATACATTTTCACATTTGAAGTAAAAAATGAAATACTGTAACATGCTCCACATTGTATGCCAATCCCTATACGAATAGCGGTTTTCCAAGCGATCGACCCTTCCCGCTAAATGAAATCACCATCTTCCAAGACGTCCCTCATAATTCGAGATTCCGAGTTGGCAAACCAGCGAGACATATAATGACAAACCAGAGCGTGATGTCCGAAACGTTTCGCGAATGACTCATAGATACTAATTTTAGGAAGCATCCTTATAGGGGGGAGACAACCGAGGTGCCAACCCACCTACGTGCTCAGGTAATTAGTCGCTCATTACGAGAAGCAAGTAGGGGCCTTCCGCCTGCCTCATTGCTGATTCACTCTTTGACGATGCAAGCGATGAATACGTTAGACAAGGTTCCGCGCTTGCCAAGATCGAGGACCACTCAAAAGCTCATTTAAAAATAGGATTTTTGTTATATCATGTTTTAAAAAATTGCATAGGTGAGACGCGACGAATCGTTTGGACTTAAAATCTAATTTAGTTTTAAAAAATATATTCCTGTGAAAAATTAAGAGAATCCAATGAGGCAATCAGGCCAAATGTTCCACCAATCTAGAGCTGGTCACAAAGTGTAATAAGTGTGCAGTGTGATACTTTTACTAGTGGCAGTTATTGTGTGAGAAAAAAAATACTACGAAGCATTTCCAACATGAATCAGACGTGATCTTATTTGTCTTTCCAGTCGCACCCAAGAGACATTCTGGAAGCAAGGACAGCCTCATAGCGACCTTCGATCTGGAAAAGAAAGCGGAGACAGAGGGGATGGATATTTCGCTCTGGTTGGCTCGTCTGGCACACCTGAAACTGGAAGTAGAATCGGAGAAAGGGAAACGTGGATATCTGACCCTCTACGACAAGACGAACTCCTCGAAAGAACATCTGGAAACCAAGTGGATCGATAACGGCAGCCAGGGATTCGACGTCACGGTGCCCGTGTCGCGACATCTGGAGACAGCAGCAAGGAAAATCGTATTCTACATACGATGTCGTCGCTGTCGAATACTGAGCTCGACCCTGGAGGTTCTTCTCATCTCCGAGGAGCGAGGATTGAAGCGGTGGAAGCGAGACTTGGCGGGAATCATGGACTGTCGAACGGACCGACGGCAACCAAAGTGCTGCCGAACCAAGATGACCGTTTCCATCAAGAAAATCCCCCAGCTGAACTACATCATTCACCCCCTGGAATTCGAGGCGTATCGCTGCGAAGGCCGCTGCCCGCGACAGTATAGACCGGCCCACAACCACGCCCTCGTCCAGGACTACGTTCACCAAGAGGACAAGAAGGTAGACAAGCACCCGGTCACCCCGAAGCCCTGTTGCGCACCGAAGACTCTCAAGGACCTAGAAATAATGTATGTGGACGACAAGCACACTTTCCGCTCAGGAACCTGGAAGAATGTCATCGTCGAGGAATGCGCCTGTTCCTGAAGCCTATTTCATCGTTTTCCTTGTCTGGTGCAAACAGAGATTCCCGTCTCTATAAATTTGACTTCGTATCTCAGAATCTAGTCAACTTCATCTTGCTGTTTGATGTCGACTGAATGTCTAATGGGTGCATTTGAATCGCGTTTTCGACCTCATCCTTTGGATATGCTTCCCGTTTAGATCACGTAGTAGAAAAGTCTTCCGTCACAACCATGTTTGAATGCTCGATCGCCTAGTTGTGATACGTGAGAATTTTCGTCCCTCTGCATGCAGATCCCACCCAATGATGTGATCAATCAAATTCCATTTCTATGTGATGTTTATATTTATGAGCACTGAACTACGACCGCGGTTTTTCCGATTTGGGAATGGAAATATTTTCATAGATGGAGGAGCATCTGAATGATCTACAGATGGCATTTTCAATAAATGTATATATTAAACAAAATTAGAGCCTCATTTTAAATCTGTCATTATATATAAATATATATATGGAGTAAGAGAAGTTATTTGGTGCCGAAATTGTCCGAAACTACCCAAGGGCAACAGAAAATGCCCAACCTTTGGACCCAAATGCGCGGTTTACTGTCCAGCAAGGTAATTATTAATATATATATATAGTAATGGACCTAATATTAATCTTTCTATAACCGATTTATCCGTCAATGGACCGACCCGTCATTTGAGCCCCCAACCAAGATGCACAGATAGAGTAAGAGAAGTTATTTGGTGCCGAAATTGCTCGAAACTACACAAGGGCAACAGAAAATGCCCAACCTTTGGACCCAGAAGCGTGGGACTTAGAGATGAGAGTAGTGAGAAATCTCTAATCCTACTTGCTTCACACGAGTCTCAAGCCATCACATAGCTGCATTCAGCAGCTTATGGTATACACGGCTATTGAAGTTTAATATGGTGCCAACTTTTGATTTGGGGCTATTTCGTGGGTGGGAGTTAACGTGTGAAGCAAGTAGGATTAGAGATTTATATATATATATATAGAGGAGGGTCGACTGTCAACCCCGGCCCCTGGGACAGAGTTGGGTCTTTACATACAGAAAATATGCCCCCCGCACGGAAACGTATGAAATGGACAAAATCCATGAACATTGACGTCATGCGGGTTTACTATCAAGCACGATCCGATGCGCCAGGAGCGTACCGGAAGAAAATGCTCGAGCTCTGGAATCAATCCTACTCAGAGCTGAATATCAACGAGCAACGACTTGCGAATCAGAGAC